CGTGCGAAACGCGCTCTCTCTCTCTCTCTCTGTCTCTCTCTCTCTCTCTCTCTCTAGACTTGCGCGGCTCACTTTTGAAGGAAGTCTCGTACAAAACGCTCGTTCTGGAGACTTCCGCGGCTCACTTTTGAAGGAAGTCTCGCAAAAAACGCTCGTTCTGGAGACTTCCGCGGCTCACTTTTGGAGGAAGTCTCGTACGATACGCTCGTTCTGGAGACTTCCGCGGCTCACTTTTGGAGGAAGTCTCGTACGAAGCACTCATTTTCACTAGCAAATGCTACCTTCGAAGCACTACCGAATGATGCGTGTTCCAAAATGAGCCGCGAAATTGGTCTCACGCTGCAGTCCCGGAGAGTTTTCTTTTCGTCTGGGTTCCAAAATGAGCCAGGTTCCAAAATGAGCCGTTTCTAGGTTCCAAAATGAGCCGTGTACCGTCCGGAGGGCCATGCTTCCGTGCTAAAAGAAGCCGTGCACTCACGAGGTTAACACGGCGTTAAAGAAGCTTGAAGACTATGCCACAGAGCTTCTCTCCAAGGACTTGCCCCTCTTCAAGCGTGGCAATGTGACTTGGTCGGGGGTCGGTGAGTCTCAATGACGGCCGCAACGACTTGGGTCGGAGGCGGCCATGGGTTGAGCCGATTCGCCCCCCGCGACCATCACTTCCGACCATCGATCTGCTTGAAACGGTTTGAACGACATTGACTTTCGGACATTAATTCTGCACTTGGAAGCCTTAAGGTAAGCTTGTTCGAGATGAAGAAGGTGTCTGCGAAAAAGGGCATACGAGGATTGGAGGAGAAAAGCTCCAGAGGGTAGCTGGCTGTGTCGATTTCAGAGATCAAGGATCAAGGTTAGTTAGGCTTGCTTGATGGAGTGATTGTGATGAGTACTATCGGATGGAGCTTGGAAAGAGCTTGAAAAGTGCCAGCGATGCAACTTCCAGAATATAAGGAACAAAGGATCTCTTGGCGTCGTGCCCAACCACAAAGGCAATTGCTTCTTGCAAATGCGAGTTTGGAGCACTACCCAATGATATCCCATGATGCACAAACTCATAAGTTTCCGAGTGTTCTGAGTCTTGAGTTTCGTTTGAACATCTATAGGCCAGGCTTATGGTCTCCTTTCTCGATCTCACAAACTCACAATAGCTTTTCGTGCTCAGCACAATGAAGAATACCTATTTACGCAAGGAAGCCTTCAATGTCAAAGATACGTGTGTGCATTGAGACCCGTCACAATTTCAATCCCTGATCCCTCTTTCATCACGAGTCGCGAGTCATCGTTCTGTCAACAACTTCGCCATGGAGGCCACGAGAGCAAACGAGGTTTCGGTTGGTCGCTACCGGCGAAGAGAGCAACGTCTGTCTCAACCCTTGGAAGTTCTCTTCATTTCTGAATTCCCAAGCGAAAACGAAGCCGCTGTCTACAGTATCTGTTTTCACCCTATCAGACCCGGGTGAGGGTCCCGTGACTGAGCGACCGCCCAAAACACGGAGATCCGAAGCAAACATGACTTGGGTTTCGATCAAAAGGAACCATGACACCAAATTCTTTGCATGGCAAGTACCATGAGATTCACTTAAAGACAATGATGCTGATGTCCTTAAGTTCTGCATGCGCGCCTTGATGACATGCAACATGTCCACATGTCTTGGGGTGCCTGACCTTGACCTCACTTGCCTTGGGTTTGTGCACCAGACATGAGTCGTGTGAGGAGTCCTTTATGTGCAGCAACAAAAGCGCTTTAGATGCTTGGGCAAGCCAGTGGCGGGGTCATGATTGTCACCCAAGGGCAAGCCATAACCTTTTGCTGTTGATAGGTGAGAATAAGCCAAAACCTAGCTTGACAGAGGTCGATGAAGTAAGTTGATGCAGGCTTTGTGTGGCCTGGGGGTGAGTGTTTGACTTGCAAAAGAATGCTGCTGCGATGACATCAAAAAAGAAGCACAGCTACAGAATCGATGGCCGCATGCGATTTGGTTCACAGCTTCTCAGTTTCACATGTTGAAATAACTTCTGGCCGTTCTTCTTGTTGGAAAGTGTTTACATCATTTGTCACCTACATCAAGCTGTTTTCGGCTGTCCTTTGGCTTGCTTGGCCTATGTTCCCCACTCCGTCATTTGGGATCCTCCGAACTCCCGGACCCTTTCCGAGGGCAGGAACTATGCCCTGAGCCTGCGGATACAGGCAAAGTTGGGCCAGCGACTTGGCATCCAGCGATGCTTGCTTCCAGACTTGGAGGAAACCTGGAACCCCTTCCTCTCTTTTCGCCTCAAGAACACATGCTATTCGGAACCACCCTCAAGCAGTCAAGCTCATGCCAAGCATCGAACAGTTGTCAACCAATTTCCGGTGTCTGAAGAGGCAGGGCAGGTGCGGCGCATGAGGGGATTTTCATGTTCCTGATCTTGAAGGCTCCCTTTCCCACATCAGGATCCATCAATCAGCCTTTTCGGTCTCCCCTGGAATTGGTGGAAGGAGTGGGAAGGTGATGAGTCCGATTTCACGTCCAACGACCGATCGCTCCCCGTCACTGGAACTGGATTGCGACCATCGGACACAGCACCAACAAGGTCGGCTGACTGGGCTTTCCGGTCGAAACGTCGCCCAGCCAAAGGGGAAACGACCGGGTGTTCAGTCCAAGCCCCCTGGTCAACTTCCTGCCCAACGATTGGCCTTTTCTTCCAAGCCGTGCGCTTTGTTCGCTCATTTGCACTGGAGGATCGTCAAGATCAAGAAAGTGGCCATCTCGCAGGCGGGATAAATTGATAAATTCTCCAACGGCTCTCCACATTTGTGACCTTTTTATGTTCTTTCTACTAGCTTCTTGTTACTACTAGTAAGGCACTTGTTACTAGAAGCGATGCACTTGTTACTAGAAGCTTCTTGTTCTTGTAAAGGCTTGAACAGATTTCTGAAAGGGGAGCCCACGTTTCCCGTGTTTTTGGAGTCGCACGCCATTGGTTTTGGCATCTACTTCGGCTGCCAGAATTTGAAGTTCAAGGCTGGGACACCCGATCAGTACTGCTTCACACCGCTCTGCACTGCTCGTGGTGGGGCCGAAACAGACTGGACCCGCTGGTAGAGTGGTTTCGACCACTCTATATTGGCGATGGGAACATAAGTCGAAGGTGTGTGGATGAAGACTTCACAGGGCAACAGAGAGAAGATGTAAAACGACGTACCATATCTACCTCTATCTACATTAGGGCCATTCGGAATTTGAGTATCTCCTGTTGCTTGCCCCTAAGAACATTTGCTCAAGTATCAGGACCTGGACAGGATGGGGGCGGGCCCATTCCGCTGGTGTTTTTCCTTCTTCACCAGCTTAGGGAATTCAGTAGGGTTCCCGACAGCACCAAACGGATCCCACAGCTTCGCCGTTTGACCAGAAACACGAAGGACTGCGCACCTGGCACCGCAAAAGGTAGGGAATACATGTTGTCCTTGAATCATCCGAGGGGCTTTCGGATCATCCCAGGGGCCATGACGTTCATTTGAAAGCGAGTGTACCACTCTACGACACTAGCCACAACTGGCCAGCGTCGTGAAAGTGCCGCTGTCTCTAAGGTTACGCGCTTCTTGAGCATCCGCTGGTTGTCCGAGGGTATTGGCTTTCCCAACAAGGACGAGGACAAAGCCAAGGTCGCAGCTGAAATTCAGTCTTCTGGCGGAGCATATCTGAGAAACACTGAACAATTTCGAGATGAAGGAACATGAGAGGAGATTTCTCCTGGTCGACCAATCGTCGACCAAGACAAAAGCGAAGAGTGGCAAGAATCGGCCGAAGGTGGGGGTTTTGCGCAAGGGTGGGGGTTTGTCTAGGTTCTGTGTTCAGGTTCAAGTTGTTCTTGTGAAGCTGCAACCTTGTGGAACTTGTGGGCGCTCTGAGGTTTAAGTGGTACCATTCGGAATTCCCATGCTTCCCGGTCGTGCCGCTCAAGACGGAGGTCTGAACATGTCATCCAGGATCCATTTCACTGGGTTGCTCTCTGCAAGCGTGTGCAGGTATCTGGAGATTCGTTAAGACTAATCCTTTCCTTGCTCGGGTGTGAAGAATGAGGCTTAAATGATTTAGCCGTTGAAGATTAGCATCCTTGACATGTTTGGTCAATCCGAATGACACTTGAATGGCATTCTTGTTTACAGTTTTGAGTCACATGGGGCAGATGGTTGGCACCTGGGTCGAGTCTGACTTCATTTGCGCAGGCATCATTCCGAGTGAAATTGGGGCCCAAATTTGACGCGGGAAAAGTCAATCTGCGCACCTCCGTGACCTATACAGTGCAGGACCTCTTGCTACTCGCCGGAAAGGCTCGTTGGTTGAAGGGGTTCTTGACAACACAGAGAAGAAGATGCTTCACAAGCTCCACACCCCAAAGATCCTTTCACCAGATGGAAGATCCATGCGACAATATGTCGAAACAAAAAGCGATCCGTTGAAAGTAAAGCAACGTGGCCAGCGCGCCTCACGACAGGTGTTAGGATAGGCAACACTTGGCGGGAGGAGATGTTGGTTGCAGCCGAAGGCGTTACACATCAAAAGCTTCGTGTGGAATGGGGTCAAGAAATACACAGAGCGCAGAACACATACATTAGCTCTGAAAAGCGTGTTTGTTCGAGATATTCATGAACTAATTGTCACTCTCAAGGGTGATCCTTTGACCTTGTCCTAAGGTCCTTTGAGCAGAAAGACACCTGGCCGCGTCGACGCGTTGGTCTCCCGGGTGATATGGGTGATACAAATTCGAGGATGAAATGAGTTGCCTGTGGGGGTTCCTTCCAGCTAAGGCGTCAGGCACTAACCATATGCATCCCCCGATGATAAACTACATGAAGGCTCGGTTAACGGCTCGGTTAACCTGTGTACAACCATTTTTCAGTCATGGAAGTTGCCAATCTTTTGAAAACCTGCGCTCATCGTTCGTGTTCAATGACAGACGTCATCTCGAATGGCTTCCCCGCTACAGACTACAGGGCCGGTTGAATTCAAGCTTGGTGCCCAGTGAGGTGGTGATAGCTCGCCACTTTGCAAGGATGTTCTCAATTCTTTCTTAAGATGTGTCCGCCCATTTCTATTCATTTGTCTCCCGGGTGATTTCTTTACTTTCCCAAACAGGTTACTGTTAGGGGTCCTCAATGCTTTCTAGGTCACTGTGTCCGCCTTGTCTCCCTTCTGTTTCCTTTTGTCTCCCTTCTTGTCTCCCTTCTTGTTGCGCGCTGCCAACTGCCTTGCAATCCTTTCCATTTGTCTGCCAGCTCTGGACTGCTGTGTTGCAGTCCTTTACATGTCTCCCAGCTCCGGACTGCTGTGTCCGCCACTTGCGAGCAATCCTTGACATTTGTCTCCCAGCTCTGGGCTGCTGTGTCCGCCTCTGCCTTGCAATCCTTTACATGCGCCCTCTCGCTTGCAACACTTCACATTTGTCTCCCAGCTCTGGTCTGCTCTGCCCTGCAATCCTTTACATTTAACTCCCAGCTCTGGACTGCTGCGTCCGCCTCTGCCTTGCAATCCTTTGTCTCCCAGCTCTGGACGTCGCAGGCTGTAGTTGCAGAGTGTTCCGAGTTTGAAAAACACAAACTGTTTGGGGCCTACGGTGGTGTAATTTTTAGCCAAACAGTGTGGTCGCACTAGGGGTTCTTACGGTAGGTGTTAAGGCTGGGATTGATCGAGGCCCACGGGCGGCGGCTAATTCGCTGCTATTTACGTGCCTCTCGAGATCTTCGAAGTGCACTTCGACTGGGCAGGCTCGCGCAAACTGCCTCCTCGGAGCGGGTGCTTTATTTGACGGCGTTCTCGCTGTGGTGCCGCGGGCTTGGTGTGGCAGGCGCAAGGAATCCTCTTGTTTTGGTGGTCTGAAGTCGACTTTTCGTTGTGCAGGTGCAGGAGACGCAGCCGCTTTACTTCGATGTGCAGATTTCGTGGCAGGTGCTGCGCTTTGGACTTGGCAACCTCTGATTCTGTGGCACGTGCAGTGAATCGTGAACCTTGGACATGTGGTTTGTTTTTTCAATTGCAGGCATACATGTCACTTCCTCTGAGAGGTGCGCTTCAGATCGCAAAGCACTGCCCCTGCCACGAAATCTGCACTGCGAGGGGCTTACAACGTGCCCCACCTGGCACGAATTCCGCCCATCAGGATTCCTCAGCCCTGCTAGTGCTTTTCGCAAGAAAAGCACGAGATGCCAAAGACAATACTTCTCCTCAATTCTGAGGTTGCTGAAACTTCCCTGGCCCTGCAAGATCTTTTTCATCACCAACTTGGCGGAAATACATGGAATCACCATGTTAGACACAGTGGCACACGGCTTCATGTCATGCTAAGACGCCATGCCACTTGAAGGAGTGGTCGCCGAAGAAACCGGGATGGCCCAATGGCGTGGGCATCGCTGCTGACGCGGGCTCATCCATCCCACAACTTCTCCAGGCGAACGTCAGCATCAGTCAAAGCTTTGAGGACAGAGCTCAGCTGGTGCATTTTGCTCGCCTCTTTTGCAGGATTGTTCTTCCAACCAAGTCAATTATATAGTTCCCAGGAGGATGAGCAAACAGAATTAACAAGAGATTCACGAAGATAGAAGTGTTGTAGTGGATTGATTTGTGGAAACCCACAGAGGTTATGACGGTTATGACCTGCAACAGGCAAAGGTAAAGCAGCACGAAGACTGCGACGGGGTCTGAGTCAGTTGGTGTGGTGCTTCTGGGGCCTGGGCTTAGATCTGGGCCACATTGCAGCCACGCACTTGTCAATCAATTTCCCAGGCAGAATGGTCAAAGGAATTTCACCGGGAGCCCGATTTTGGACTCGTTGCCGCTGGCCGTGCAGCGCGCTGGTCGTGCGGCGTCGTCGGGTGTCGATGCCGCATCGATGCCGCATCGATGCCAGGAGGCTGGGTTGAATGGCCGCCAGTTGTTCCAGCGAGTTTTAGACACCGAGGCTCAGGCTGGGAGTGCCAAGGTCAGAAAGGTAATTCGCTTCACGAATCAAATTGAGGTTATGAGTTTCACTCATCTCAGTTTGCGTGTCCAGGCCAAAGAAATGGCAGACTGGGAGATGACTGCAAGTTTTGATGCACGTGTCAAGCAACTCTTTTGCACCTTGACCAGTGATTTCATCAAGCTTTTGGGCACGGATTTGGTTGATCGGGCTCTTAACAAAGATGAAAACATCAACAAGTTGGAACAAAAGCATCAGACAGATTAAACTATTCAGAGCCTGGCAATCCCCGAACAACTTGATCAGCAACCATTTCCAGCATCGGGCCACTTAGGCTTAACCAATTGCGAATGCCAGGATCAGGATGAGTGAGGCACAACGCAGCCGCCGTAACGTTCATCGTGGCGGTGTACAAAGTTATCAATTGCTTGAATAATACGGTTTTATGCTCGCAGACAGCTCTGGACGCAATGAGATGCTTTTTAGGGGGTCCAGGAGTTATGTCAGATGTATGTAATGGCAACATACAGGAACTTTTCAACCCAGAGCGCTGAGCGCCCAATTCCCTCCTTTCTGTTTTAAGTGAACAGTCTAAGTACAGGCTGGAATCATGCATCACCATTTTCAAAACGCAGAAACCACAGAAGCACCAGGGCGATTTTGGAACACCCTTTCGTGGCTTTCTTTGCCATTCAAGCAATGACAACGACGTCTCGCTTCGCGCTGGGAACCGCACGCGGCGACCGAGATTCGCTTTTTGACGGTGGTCCCGCGACGGGGGTCGCAGGATGGATTCATTGAGGAACTCGTTGAACCCAACATGCCACAAGTTTGGAACTCCCTTCTGGACTGTGTTCCCCTTGTTGGGTCCATGTTGAGGTCAACTTCAAGTTGTGTCCCAAACGGGGCCCTGGTCGTTCTGGGCAAGTAGTGGGCCCTGGTCCGGCCTGATTTCCAGGCAGATAGAAAACCCAAGTGCCAAGTGTACGTTTCCAAACAATGTCAGGGGAAGTTGCGAGCTTTGTTGATCTTGGCGCGTTCAGACAGAAGATGCGAGTCGAGCCACGCTGGGAGTCTTACAACCAGTTTGGCGGGCAGACTTTTAATACTCATGGTCTCTGGTTGCAAGTGTCATCTGGGCTGCGCCCCTTCATTGGGTGATCAATGACAAAGCGAATGGACCTGGAAATACCTGGGAACGAGTTGAATGGTGAGAACCTAGACTGCCAAGACAGCGCCTGTGCCAAGTCAAATCCCTTTTGCTAACCTGTGATGACTGATGAAAACTGCTCGTTTTAAGCCAGCAACCACCATGGATCAAAACTCTCACGAGCTTGAGTTGAAGAAACCCTTCAATTAATACAGCTGCTTATATCGTTCATTTTTCCTGGGTTAATTCGAAGCTGGGTGCCGGGTGCCTATGTCACTCAGAACACCTTGCTTTGCTGGGAGGGAACATCTTTGCATTTTTGTAATCCGTGTGCCGCGACGACGCTGGCATTCTTACGCACTTTTGCGGTGTTTCGACAGTAAGGCGAAAAACTGCACGAGGACACAATGAATCTTTTCTTCGTCCAATTATATATATATATATATATTATTGTCACTTTGTGTCAGACAACTCGTTGGAGGCATGTGAATGGAAGAGGAATGTGAGGGTTAAATAACCATTCTGCTTTTGCTGGACGACAGGAAAATCGTGTCTCTTGATGTGGCTCTCTGCCTTGCACGAAAGACACCACCAAAAGGCCCATTTTGCTAAGCAGATGCTCCAGCTCTTTTTCGGAAACTTACAGTGCTCCAGCTCTTACGGAAGTGATTGGGTGCAACCCCCTTGATGGCGGGTATTGATGATCTCCTCGGAGCGTCGGCCACGCTCCAATGAGGGTTTTTCTGGTCCAACGGTCGGCTCGGCTCGTAGCACCCCGGTGGTTCCGATTCCCACGGCAAGAGTCACTCTTGACTCGTTTCGCCAGAGAGTCTACCAAGAGTCTACCAAGAGTCTACCAAGTGTTCCGAAAAACGCAAAAGAGGGCTGTTCACACCAAGTCACACACACACACACGTCCCCGGGTTGCCATGGTGAGAAGATGTCTATTCTTCGTGGCTCTGTGTTTGGTTGCGGGTCAGGACACGATCTCCTTTAGCCCAGAAGAGCGACACGGAAATGAAGAACAAGAACAACATGTGGAAGTGGACGATGTGACGTGGACCACCGCACTACTGCTGATTTCCTTTGTGGTGATGTCCATGGGAGCCGTCTATTTGGTGCATTCATCAGATGTTGATATCAGGAAAGAAGGTTGGACCTTGATTAGCACGACGATGTCTATTTTCTGTGCTGCTAGCATTGACTTTTCCATTTGCTGGATGATGATCATTTGTCTAGCATACGTGACTGGAGAGAAAATTGACAAACACACGGACACATGGGATTTCCAACTGGCTGTTTTTCTTTTTGCCTGCATCATCTTCTTGCTTTTGCTCCTGGTGCTTCTCGACCTCAGCCCGGAAGAGAACATGCACTTTTTGACGGCTGCGACCAGGCTAGGCAGCCGCATCCTGGCATTTGCCAGCATTCTCTTTCTTGGGCATGTTCAAAAACTGACCTTCTTTAATCAGTCCTGGTTCGCAGCCTTTCTGGTTCCATGCTTGGCGCTGTTGTTCTGTATGCTTGCATACCCGATCGCGATTCTGGCCAAACGCCGCGAACCAGAGTGGTGGACTAGGAAAAAGGAACGAGTGGATCATGTGCTGCAGGCGTTGCAGGAGGCCACAGCAATCAGCGTGGGCTTTCTCCTTTGTCAAGTTGCGTGCTATGTGCTTAGTGAATCAGACGTGAACAAAGACAAATTTATGCCCATCATCGGTGGGCCTCCCGGTCGACACAGACCTTTTTCGACCACGATCTTTTGGACTTTGGCTTGCATGCTGCTTTCATTCTCGGCCATTTGGACGGTACGACATCGACGGATGCACTCACACCGGACCATGAAGCGCTTTTTGTCCAACCTTGTTGGCCTGGTCACCTCAAATACAGGATGTTGGTGCCTCCAACGAGGCGGCTTGATTCTTTTCTACCAGCTGTGTAGTGACCGAATGTACGACTACCAGAAGCATGTGCTATGCAAAGGAACTGGTCACTGCGAGGACTTCCAGATCAACCCGGTCAAAGTCACCAACCGGGCGACCATCACGAATGCCGCCTTCATGTCCGTGCTTTCCGTCGTTTGCATTCTCGTCATGGATAAGGTTGCAGACCTTTGCGAAGGCAAGGGCTCGATGTCTCCTGGGCAACTTCAGATGGATCTCGGCGAGGAGCCGTGCGGGTCGCCGTGCGAGCCGCGAGCCTTTCTGCGTGGGGATCTAGAGTCTGTGGGGTCAGCATCCAGTGAGATGGAACTGGATTTCCAAAGCATGGCTTCGAGCCTGAGGACGGTCATGGGGAGTTTCGGTGTCTTGGTGGGAATTTGTTGGAACAAGGCCTTTGAGACGGCTTATGCGGTGATTTTGGAGCACGATTCATGGAGCCGCATGATGTCCTCCAATGAAGAGGCAAAACAATTCTTGGAAGACAATGAGATCAAGGTTGGACTGTTGCTGGCCAGTGTGGGCTTTGTATTGTCCCTCTTCGTCCTACCAGGGTGGTATTGGTACATCATGCCCTTTACCCTGAAGGAGGAAGCAGAGCATGGTGCTGCCATCAGCACTGAATATCAACAGTTCAAGTTATTGGAGTTGACCAAACGAAAGTCTGCACACGTGCCATCTGAAAGTAGCGAAACAGACTCTGCTTGAACTGGATTGAACAGACTCTGCTTGTCCTGTAGGGCCGGGTTTTGGAACGAGCGGATCCGGTTGGCGAGAGGTTGATTGCGCGGCTCCAAAAAGCTTTCCCAGGTGTTTGGAACGGCAATGCCTTCAGATGTAGGAGAGTCGTTTTTTATGTTCTACATGTCTTTCTTGGTGTCGTTCTTGCCTTGGCAGAGTTGGATGGCCCAGGCTTCCTTCGCCGCTTTGCCGGCTCAAGGGCGTCGAAAGCCAAGGGGTTGAACGGGCGAAGAGTCGAGTGATTTCGATGCAGATGCAGCAAAGCCGCTCCTGTGATTTCTTGATCAAACTCTCCGGGGTCCGGGGTCCTCAGCTGGCCGAAGAAGTCGGTTTTTTTTTTGATCATGTTTTTGATGTTTTTGGGTGAGCCGAAGTGCGCGACGCTACCGGATGTTGGATGCTCCAAGAAATAGGTCACAGTTCTCTGTGAAGGATGTATGTACTATAACTCTCCAGCTTTTTGGACAAAGCCGGTTTCCCTCGGGTCCCTGAAGAGGGGTTGATGTCAATATGAAGCTCTTTTTTGACCCGTCACCCCAGACACTGTTGCATTCTTTTCGCCTCGCGTTTTGACCCACAGACCCTGGTGCACAATGGAGTCTCACTCTCCAGTTTGGCCATCACTGAGGAGCCACAAGAGAGCCACAGTTCGTGTGTGATTTCTTCCACCAACTGTTCTCTCTTTTGATACCTATTTCTGAGCCATAACCTATTTCTGAGCCATACCCATGTGTGACACGCGACTCTTGGCGACCATCCGGTCAAGACCACACTTTCTTTCGCCTCGTCGAGCTGGGCCTTCGAGCGAAAAGTAAGGCGAATCGGACACGACCGGCTGTGGGATCAGACAGTGCTTCCCCCCAAAAGGGCTCGTCTCCTTTCACCGAGATGTGCAGCCTCCAAGGGTCGGACCCTGAATCCTCCACCCACGGTGACTCAGACTCATTTCTTTTTCGGCCGACCGGTTCTGAGGTGAAGGCTGCCCCAAAGTGGACCTTCAGGGGCAAGCCGTGCGGAGCCCGAGCACTTCCTGCGGAGCCCGATTCGGTTCGGGTCCGTGATGGGGAGTCCGGTGGAGTCTGGAAGTCTCAGCGAGGCGATGTGAGGCATGTTCTCTTGAAATTGATGTTCGGAGGTTTACTCTCATTTCCATGGAAAACACACTAAGAGTGCAGCTATACAGTAAGTTTGCACTCATAGCGTTTTGCAGATACTCCTTTCCATTGGAATGTCTTCATGGCTCGTCCCAGGCATGGGGAGATCCTCACGGACACTCCCGGGTGCCGGAACCCGGATCGGGGCGGAGTGTGCAAGATGCGGGCCGATGTGGGGCATGTATTGAAATAGGGAGACCTCATGGACCAGTCTCCCCAGCCAGGGCCAGGGGGTCTTCCTCTTAGAGTACACTTGGCAAGTCAAAGACACCGATATAATGAGATCCCGAACGCAACATGAGCGGCAAAGACTTTCTTTCTTTTGGACTGCTCAACGGGAGGGGAAGATTGAAGATGCTGGACTGCTGACTGTTGGGCTCCTCATCTGATGGGTGTGAGGTGTTGTTTTGCGAAGTTTGTCTTGGTTCAGAGACCTATGCCATGTGAGCATCCAACGCAGTCCGAGACTGGTTCTCATTTGGACGGGTAAAAAAGAGTCCATATATCTGGGTTAAACGATCGAGGATTTTGTGTTTTGGGATTGCTTTGGTGCTTGAGGTAGTGCCGGATCTCCTCTTTGAATGTTCTTTCCCGCGATCTTCGCAGGCCTGGCCAGTACTATGGTGAGGCAGCCTGCAGCTCAAGGAAGCCATTCGATGTGATTCGCAATAGAAGCAGCACCCGTTCTTTTCTGAACAGAGGCAGTTGTCACGGTCGATTCGCTTCAGGGATATATTTTGCTTCCAGAGGGTGTCTTCTTGTGTTTCTTCTTCGGCCATCTGGGCGAGTCCTTGGCACTGATCCAGGGGTTGAGAAGGTCATGGTTTTCGGTCTCTGTGTTGGGTTGCAGTATACTTGGTAAATGGAAGGCAGCTGTGAGGATAAGATCTTTGACTACCTCAGTTGCTTCCTCCCAACTCCCAACTGACTCTTGTCCATTTGTGAAAAGAGATGGTCCAACCAGTGGTGGTTTTCAGACACAATCATTTACTGTAATGAAACCTGAGATCCCTACTGAACTGGGACTCGCCACATCCGAACATCGCCTGGGGAGCATCCAAGAAAAGAAACAGAGACGCCGACGTGCAGCTTCTTAAAAAACTCCCTCAACCACTGAACCAAAGGCCTTTAGCTTCCCCCCTCTCTTGAGGTGAAGCTCCGGACGCGGGGGACTCGGCCGAGAAAGACGCGACGCTTACTCGCGCCTCCGCGGCGTCCGCGGGTGGCGAGTTCGGTGAACGGGCGGTTTTTGGGTCTCGGTGGCGAGTCCGGTGATGAGGTTGCGGGTGGTTTTGCCCCGTGATGAGGTCGATGTGCAACAAGCTAAGTTGAAGTCCAAGATGAGGTTTGTGAGTTAGGGTTATTGACAGTTTGTTTGAGGGTTATTATATAGACTTCAGCTGTTTGGAAGTGGGACCTGAACTATCTGCAAGCACATGTCTACAACGGCTGATCTGGTCCTCTCATGTTTACTCGGGGACCTCGAGTTTGGCTCCTCGAGTCTTTTTGCTCACCTCAAGTCACCGGGCTGGGCTGTCGTGGAGGAGTAGGCTGGGATTGTTTGCGTATCAAAACCTTCCATACCACTTAGTCATGGACATTGTCGACACCATTCTCAAACAACTAAGAGGATCTCCTTTTCTTCTTGGTGGCGGTCACCCTTCGCACCGCACCGGTCGCACCGGTCGGCTCGGACGCTTCTTCTTTCACCGCAAGGGCCTCCTCGAAGCACGGCTTCGGCACCTCCCCGCGCGACATCGGACCGGATGCCCAGCCCGGAGCGACGTGAACCGCGGCTCGGGCCACTCGGTGGCCGAAACTGAGAGCCTACAACGCGAGAGATGCAGGGGGTGCCCTTTTTTCGTTGTGGGCCGTACTGGCTGCCTGTGTTGGCAGTACGAACAGCCCATCCGGGTTGGGTGGTTGATGGCTTCCTGGCAGGTTCCCTCATTTCGGCCTTTCCGTCATTTTCGTCGAGCAACACTTTGTAGTGGAGCAATCGTTTTTCAAAGTCTCAATGTCTGGCGGTAATGACTAAGTGCAGCTTTGCCTCCTCTTCTCCCCCCAAATTTCAGTCCTGTGAAACAACCCAAAGGCGGCTCCAGGGGGTCAAACACCATGGGTTCTCCATGCAAAACCTCCATGTCTCGTTTTGTAAAGTCAAGACCAAGACGTCCCAAAGGACGTGCTGGCTGCCCATCCCCATGGCCCTCCGCCGATCCAGTCCCCCCCATCCCCGAACGTGGCGCCATCCAGTCCGCCCCTCCACATCGCCGGGTCCTGGAGAGCACGGGCGGCCCAGCACCGGGGGCGGGGGGGCTGAGGCGGATTCGAAGATAGAGGTGCGAATGGTTGGAGGTCGGAAGTCCAACATTCGCACCTCTATCATTCGAACCTCCATCTTCACTCCCTGGTTGGGAGTCCAACGAACGTGAAGATAGAGGATTTTGGGGAGACCGAAGACGGACGACGGAATTCCACGACGGAATTGCCGGATCACCAAAGAGATGCCAGTCCGACGGACCTGAGGTATTCAGTTGACAACCAGAAGCTGAGCGGGAGCCAATATGGTCGGGAGGCCTAGGTGCAGAGGTGGAATGGCGACTTGTGGTCTTGAAGAACGGGTGTTGCTCGAAGGGATCCAGTTGGATTTTCACGAAAGCCGTCCCAAGATGTCCCAAGAAGATCTAATCTTGGGCACCGTGATTCTGGAGGAAGCAGATATGCCACAGGGGATTTGGGGTGTAATGACCAGCTATTGATGAATTCCGCACAAACACTTGCAAGCTATCCTGTTGCAGGGCTTTTTAATGCTGACTGCATTTCCCTGCTTGCGTATGGGTCTTCGTCCATAACCGGAGAAGGATCCAAGAGCTGCAGTTGTTTCCTTGCCAGGTGCCCTTTCCTGCCTAAGAGATAGATTTTGTCTTTTCCTTGTGTGGCAAGCTTGGGACAGTGAAGAGGTCCATGTTTTATGTCACGCTATCATGCCTTGTGTTCAGCGCGCTGGGCCTTGCACGATAGGCTCAATGAGTCCGGTCTGTCATGCTGGAGCTTCTCAGTCCACCATGGTTTCTCGAAAGATCTCGTGTCACCGAACATGAAGCAGGAGCGATCGGACGCTACGAACGGGGCTCCTGGCCATACTACGAACGGAGCAACAAAGGGCCTCGCGACTATGAACAAGTGCCTTACTAGTAGTAACAAGAACGCTAGGAACGGGGCTCCTGGCCTTACTACTAGGAGGCACAAAGGGCATCGCTACTAGAAACAACGGTCAGCTTGGAGACCTGCCGCGTGGAGACCACACGACCCGCTGCAGGTTTTGGGACCTCGGTGCGGCACACAGCGAACGGGCGCATGAATTCCAGCCCAGGCACAGGGATCTCAGCAAGAGGTCGTTGTTTACGGGATCTACTTGACCCGAATATCCCCCTCCCCAAAACCCTGGAACAGTGAAGATGGGGCCTTCAATGGACACAGATTCCAGATTTTGGTGGTGGTGTGACCATGACCATGACTGACCACTTGAACTCTTGACCACTCCGGTATTTGAGTTGATTTGGGAACGAGCCCCAAGAGGGGAACAGTAGATTTTAACTACTCCAAGAACACAGTCATGGAGCAAAGTCTATCCGAGTTGACACCCTCTGAAACTCCTACCTACAGCAAGTCTGCAGGTGTTGTCCAGCGTTGTAGCGTTGTCCCCTAAGAGCTGTGGAAGAAGGAGCAGAAGCACTGTTGACGGTCAGCTTTTTCACAAGCAATATAGGTTTCTTCCAACAAACATTGGAGAACGTGGATTTTGTTCACCTTGGATTTGAGACCTCAGAGGAGGTTCTTCTGGTGCTCTTCCACCTGGCCCCACTGAAACATGAAGAGTGAGGGAAGGAGCTAGCGAGGGCCCTGACAGAGAGCTTGGTGTTGGTGGGTGGATCATGTGCTTCCAAGAAGGCCCCTTCAGTCGCCAAGGAATCCGAGGGTCATTTCCTCATTTATACAAGTTGTACCAGTGAGTCTTTCGAGGCAAGTCGGCGAGTCTGAAACAGCGATGCTCTTTTCTTCGGAGGCCCGGGCTCCTACAACCAGAGCCCGAGACTGGGCGAAGGGCCCAAGTACACGGCCAGTGGCAAGCGTGGAGGTGGGCCAGAGGGCGGGACGGCCGCCCATTGGGACGGTAGATGTGATGTTTTTTGGGAAACTCTGAGTTGAAGAGTCTTCCAGAAGAACCAACGTTGTGATGCACGTCTCGCAAATTCTCAAGTTGTTGGACATGTGACCGCTAGCCACCAAAAGACCTGGGGAGCAGGCTCCAGTGAGTGGGGGCTTTTCTATTTCAACTTGCTGTTCTTTTTCACAGTGTTTTGATGGGTTGATTGTTCATCAGTGCCTTTGACAAGGGAATTGATGTATATACATCTTATACTATATACAATATATTGTATGTATACTCATGTGTCACTGTTTGTCGACTGATTGCAGTCCATTTCTTCCGTTCCTTGCAATGTTCCATGCTTCGACCGTCCATGCGACCGTCCATGCGACCGTCCTTGGCGACCGCGACCGCAGGATACAAGGCGTCAGAGGTTCCTGGGCCCGGGGCGTGCGGGCACCTGGACATCGATGCGATGGTTTCGACTCTGGATCCGGTGCAGGGGGGGCTGGGTATGGCTTCCATCGATGGAAGATTCAACTACCTTCGGAATTTGGTTGCTGTAGGTTAACCCATGGATGGAGTGCTGGCAGTATGGCAACATGCTGTTTTGGTTGGTCCTGGCATTGGTTATATTGAAGTACTCGCTACTCAACCCACAGTTTTGAACGCTGTCAGAGTCATTGTGGAAGTGATTGAGGCCCATGTGGATGCGTCTAAGACTAGGGAGACGCAGCCGGACTTTGAAGAGGAACCTTGACGAATCCCCCCCCACAGGCTGGAACTTTCTCCGTAAGTTTGATACGCATCCAGCACGGCGCTCCGTCAAGGCATCCTCCGGAAAAGGGGGGATCCTTGTCCCACACCAAAGCTTGGTGGGAGCCTTTCTTGTGTTCGGCTTTCCGAACTTCAACGCAACAAATAACAGGATTCTTGAGATGCCAAGGTTTCATGGTGGGTCAAAAGGTTTCGCCGCCCCACCTGGGAACGGGGGGCCCCATGCTTTGCTCTCTTGGTTGGTTGCGGTGACCAACCGAGCCGGGTGACCCAGAAGGGGGGACCCCGGTTCACCATGCGGTGATTGGGACTCCTCCAGGTACACAGCGGTGGAGGGGAGCATCGATCTCACCTCGCCGCTTGGTGGAGGGGCTGAGGGGCGAGATCGTCGGAGCAAGCCAGGAGGGTTGCATGACTTGCGAAGAAAGGGGTCGCTGAGAGGTGCTGAGGTCTGCTCCCCATAGGGAACATGTGTCCAAGTTATTCAAGTTCATTGGGACTGAAAGGACCGGGTCACGTCGATGACATGGACTTGCGGTTTGGTGGGGTCACCGGTGGGTCACCGGAGTCGGCTGAACTCGGTCATCCAAAGGTGACGAGGCCTGCCGTGGTTCCGAGACGAGACGAGAAGCGAGAAGCCGGAGAAGAAGCCGGAATGCAAGCTGTTGGTCATTTGAATCGGCAGTAGCTTATATATATATATATAGTATATGAGCAGAGCTTGGGCAAGTGACACCAGTCCAGTCTTGCTGGACTGGATGTGACGTCACAAGCCAAATCTCGTTTGTTGACGTGCCTGGGACGCCTGGGCCCCCCCAATTATGACACCTTTGACCCAAGTCAATCCGTGTCACAATGACCAAGTGATCCTAGGGTCCTAGCAATCTTAACGACCCTACACTGCACCAACAAGCAGACGTCACATGATATATATTATGTATACAAACAGGATACATTTATCAGCAAAATCCGGGACTTTTTAAAGGTTGTGCTATTGGTGTTGTTCATGCTGGTTGCGGATCCATCCTTTCACGCAGTGGCGGATCCATACTCTTTTGAGGGCTTGGCCGCCTCCAAAAGCAAAGAGGTTCATCAGGTCGTGCAACGTTGCTTTTGCAGCCGAACTGACATCATCCACAGTGATGCAGTGCACAGCAGAAACGATGTCTGTTGACTGATGTCTGTTGATGTTTGACCGTCCATGGGGCCTGGGGTTTCTGCATTCATCCGTCAACACCTTGGATTTCACCAGGTGAGCATCCGACCACACATACGACCCCTGAGCCTCCATGCCAAAGCTGGCTGACCAGGGCTTCAGGGGCGGAGGTTAAGTTGAGTTCAGTTGATGTTTCGAAATCTATGTTCAATCCAAGTCCCAACGCTTCGACATGTCTCTCACGCAGACGCACACAGACGAGACCCTTCCAAAGATGAAATGATGATGAATTCGGCATCATGGTTTGCCTCCCCACATCACTTGCGCTTCCAGTGGCGCTTCCCATGGTCCTTCACCGATGGTCGGCGCCTTCGCCTTCGGCTCGAGGTCTTCGACGCGGCTTCCGACGCGTGCGCCACAGTGGGGCTTCGGCACCTCCACCCGTGAGGTGAGGTTGTGCGCCGAACGTTGTGGCCTTTTTGGTTCACTGCTTCCAAGTGATTCAGACCTCCAACATTGTCTCATTAGGTGAAACTTATCTTTAAAGACTTGATTTGAGAGGTTTTGAAGTGCGTTTGTCAAAGCATCCATTATTTTCTATTGCATATGCCGATAATGCCACTCTTGCAAGCCTACGTTTTCGGCATCATGAAAAGACACCGGCCGCAAAGTAGACATCTGGCCGCAACAGCCAAGTGATGGTTGTGAAAGATGTCAATATGGAGCCCCTCAATTCCTGGCACCCAAAAGACATCAACACGTCGGGATGTGTGGCCAGGGGCAGACTTCGAACCAGACACCAGGCGCGGCAACTGTGAGTGGTGATGTACCCCCGAAGTGTTCTGCCACCGTCCCTCAAGTCGCAAGAGTCGTAGCTTTTAACTACGACCCGCAGGCATGGACTCTTCGGTTTGACTGACCCGTGCATGTCAGCTTTACTGCACCAAGTTGCCCAGTCGGACATCATAATTGGCTTGCGCAGACCTGCTTTTGTCAGAAACTGTCCAGGACTCCAGAGGTGAAATCCCATCAAAAAGACTAGCAATAGGACCTTTCTGTCTTCCTGGGACAGGTGAGTACCAGCTGAGTACCAATAGCCCAGGTGAGTACCTTTCATCAACTGTCTTCCTTCTTGGGCCTCACCTGGGCCGAGCTCCAGGTCCAGGGTCCTATGATGGCCGTGGTCTAAGCAAAGGTCGTGACGCGTCAGAAGCGGATGCGAACGCGTCGCTGTAAAAATCAGACACGCACACAACTTCTACTTTGATCTACTTTGATCTACTTCGTTTCCTTTGTTGTTGTGGCCCGGTGGTCTTTGAGTTCTTGTGGGTTTGCTTCGAAAGACCATGGGTCTATCTCAGGCCTGCTCATGGCGTCAAGTTCTTGCATGAACTTTTCACATGTTCATCATCCTCAACGGTCGCCACGTGGTTTTTTCTACTTGTAAATTATTCGTAAATCTGAACACATATTTGTAAATCTGAAGGGGCCCTGTTCTTGGCCCTCTTCTTTTTTGTCCAAATACAAGCAATCGATCGACGCAGTTGGGCACGCAGGTAGTCCCATTTGCGCAGCCTGCCTTTTGCTTCTTCCGTCGCTGGTGCAGGTAGTCCCAAGTACTCCATGCGGCCCAAGGTGCCCTTAAGGAGGACCGACCACACCGGTTTGCTTTTTTAGGTGAACAGCCCAGGTTCAGAGGCATGGCATTCTTGAAGATTCTTTTCTTTGCTCTGATCAAAAGGTCGTACTTGTCAAGCGAATTGAAAGACTTGAGACGAGTGCGCTCCTTCTTTGGGAGTTCCATAACTCTGGCTGCCATCCCTGCAGAACTCGTCTTGCTTCTTTTGCACGAAAGTAGACGCCGTCCTGTGGGTAGTTGCGGTAGAAAGAATCTCACACCCATTCATCTGGCGATGAGTCCGGGGAGCGTGATTGAGAAGTTGATCAGTAGTGGATGTTTTCTGGGGGAGTGGCTTCTTCAGCTTTAGATGGCAGCTCTGCAGCAGCTCTGCAGCTCTCACCTGTCGCTGCCTGGGCTGCCTGATGCCCCGAGGCCGGGGACGGGAGGAGCGGCCAGTTTCAGCTGTTGGACACTTTGGATGGGTCGAGCTGTCGAGCTTGCTTTTTTTTGATGCAGGACAGGTGGGGGGGCCCTGTAGACATGTGATTGGCCAAGTCTCCCAGAAGCTGGCGATGGGTTCAACACCAAATTATCATCATTCGGCTTCACTTGAATAACCCGGCGGGGAGCGGAGCGTTGGGACACGTGGGACCTGGCGGCCAACACATAAAAGGTCCACTTGAGTGAATTGACGAGATGAACGCTGTCCAAACATTTGCGCTGAGATACATGCTATTCGTTTTCTCTCAGAGGGACAATGGATTTCTGGACATCCAAAGGCATGGCATAGCCCCTTCTCGCTGTCTGTGGCAGCTTCTTGGATCAAAAACAGGCTCGGTTTTCGAGCGTTCAAGCCTATCAACATCGTGGTGTGCAATATCTTGGATTCTCGGCTTAAACTGCAGATGAAGGGACCTTTGTGGAGGTGGTTCTTTATCATCTTGCTGTCTCCACTTTCTGACATTTGTGTCATACAGCAGAAGTCTTCCCTTCCAACCGGACTTCCTCGGAGCCGACTCACCAAGGCTTTGTTTCCATGTTCCGAGTGTGGATGCTCTTCCACCTCTACACCGGGCTTGGGCTGCGGGAGATCAACGGCTACAACGTGTCGGTGAATGTGTCCAAGGAGGACCGGCGAGGTGGGTGGAACACCCAGGCCGAGCCGCCTGTTTCCAGAGGAGACGGCCACTGCCAGTCTGGAATGAACAACAAACCCCGAAGGGTCTGAAAGAGCTCCATCAGTGCCGCGTGTTCTCGTGGCCTGGGTGGTATTCTTTGGACATTCTTGGCCACCTCAAAAACCTATATACGCGTTAATCCATAGCCATAGCCCTTTTTGCTGGAAGATAGTGTGCAGGGTGTGTGTTTCTTGATCTTGCACCGACCATCTTCACCTCCTCGCTCAACCCAGCGAGACCCCCAGTGGTTGGAGGCTCCCGCTATTCTAGAGATTTGGATGATGGAAGGGAGATTATAGAACAAAAAGGCGCGGCCCCCCCGTTCTCATTGAACAGTTCCTCAGCAGCCGGTGTTTCATTCCTTTTTCCAAAGAGGGCACTTCTGTTCATTGGATCCAAAGAGTTTGGTTTCACCGTTGTTGTAATGCAGTTGTATGGCCTCTTTGTATGAACTTTCTGGTCTCTTTCAGACGTGACGAGCAAACTTTTCAAGGCAACTTCTGAGTATATACTAGCTTCCAAATATATACAGCTGCCTAGTTTCCAAGCACAGCTGTCCAATTTCCCAACGATCCCAGTTGCCAAACACAGCCCCATTGTGTGATCACAGCTGGGTTGCGATCGCTTACCGCTCACCAGTGCTCTGCCGCACTTGCTGAAACAAACATGCTCACCATGGAGCCGTCGTTTTGCTGGAGATAAGAGTCGAACCCTGATGTTTTACCTCGCTCTGCAGCATTTTTCACGGTAGAAGGGCCTGCAGCAGGCCTCCTACGAACCCTGGTGTTTGTCGCATGGGATCAACCTCCAAGTACGTGAGCTGATGACTGCAGCTGCGTTTTAGGCAAACGTTATCGGCGTGATTGGTGTTCTGCGAGGTCACAACTTTGAGTCTTTGGAATCAAAAAAGAACCAGGCCAGCAAAAGGAGACAAACTCTCTGGGCCCAAAAGGAGACAAGTTTGAGTCTTTCACTGCTGTGACGTGTGCCGTGCTGCGTCTCGACGTGTTCCTCCACGTCCCTGGAGGACTCACCACTCGCGCCGGCCATCCATGCTGCCTTGACGCTGGGGAGTAAAGAGCGTCCGACGGAGGCGGCTCCTCTGCACCGCAGAATGTCCGACGCGGCTTTTCCATGTTGAAAGAACGGGAAGCTGTGGATCAAGCAAAAAGAAGATATGACCAGGCAGGTGAGCTGGACTAGCCTACATATTATAAATCCTTATATAGGTATAATTTTGCGCAACATTATACAATACAGTCCATTTTAACTAGTACAATTATATCACTTAAAATATAACGATTAATTACAGTAGGTTCTTCGAATTCTTTTTCCACTGCGGAGTGCGAGCTTTTCACACACTATAAAGAGGGCCTGCCGAGTCAATTCGATTTTCATCAAGTGTCTCATGTTCAAGAGTGCCTCAACATCAGGTTTTCCCGATGCACTCCCCCTTCGGACTTTGCCCAAAGGCCATGAGTGGCTCCACCATCTCATACTCACAGTCTGTGAGGTCACCTTCATATCCCACCCTTGATACTTTCGCTCCCAGATTCCAGTCCGGGAGGTGGAATGCGGTTGAAGTTGAAGCCAAAAGGGAGCGCATTTGACCCCCCATGGACTGAACCAGAACTGTCGGGAACCATGGCTCGGTGGTGTGTCGAGAACCGTGGGCTCCGGTGTAGTGCCCAGCTAGAGATTGGCGTTGTGAGTCGGGGCGCCTGCGATCACGTGCGCGCTTGGGCTAACCTGCTCGGAACCTTCTTCGCACATCCGAGCACGGTCTGCATATCCATGCAGAACTGTCGGTGCATTTGCACTTGCATGTCCTTACTTTTGCCAACGTGTCACTTTAATGCATCTATGGTCTGTTCATGTCTGTTCGTTTATTCCTCTCAAAGAGCAGGTGTCAAGAGCATGTGTTAAAGCACCTGCGATTGCAACACTGGTGTATGTGAATCTGTCTGCCAATGTGTCGCGCCAGAGTGACCTCTAACAAAGCAGCCCACCAACCACAGAGGTATATGGTGTGTTCCTAACAAAGCAGAGGTCAACTGGGTTCTACTTGACATCCCGAGGACCAAGACCTTTGGCCCGGGAAGGAACCTCCAGCGGAAACCTCAAGCGTCGTCTTCGGCGTCAGAAAAAGAAGCAGGATGTGTGATGTGTGTGTTTCTTTCCTTTTTTTCTCCCTATGTGAGCCTATTCCTGTTTTATAAGAGGATCACAACCTCAAGATGCAGATAGGTGCGAACCCGTCACCGTGCATCGAGTCGGCCCGAAAAAACCCCAACCAACGGGGCAATCTGTGGCTGAGGACTGATGTTGACCTGATGTTGACCTGATGTTTTCCTGTGCTTTTCTGTGCGAACTTGTGGTTTGTTTTTTCACGGGTACTGGGAGGTTTTGGTTGGCCAAGTGTGGCTTGCGGGACCCTGCAGGGCCCTGGAAGAGAAGGATACAGTAACTGAACCATTTGCTTTTGGATCCGACAAATACACACAGATTGACCGGGATGTTGTGTAGGAAAAACACGCGATCCTTGCTCAGGTCAATCCTGCTTGTGTGACTGCTGTCCCTAGAAGTGTTTCCCAAACTTTGGGAATTTCCCCTCAGGGTCAATGGCCTCAACCTGTTTGGCCGATTCGATCGGCTGACTGTGGTAGGTGGCGAATGTGGAGGTGTTTTCAGATTGGAAAAACTGGGCAGCTTGGTTTCTTTTTCTGGATGTGAAGGGCAGGAAAAAGAGGGGCAGGTGTGAACACTCTGTTTGTGCTAATCCTGCTGAGCTGCACCTATGGGTGAATATGGGATCGGTGAACGTGGTGAGCATGTATTCTAGATGCATAAGGAAGTGAGACCCCTCAGTTTGACCCTGTGGAAAAGCTCTCACAAAAAGCACTGGAGAATCTCACTCCAAGAATACCAACCCATACTGATGCACATTAGGCCCAAAAGTAGTGACCCAGCAGTTCCTCAAAACCCAGGAGTTTTGGGTGTGTTCTCCTTAGGAAGATGTTTCTTGATTCCTTTTTGATTGGATTTTGCCTTGGTGAAGAAAACAACTGGCTCTTCAGAGTGTCCTCTCTTCCCATGTCATTTGGACATTGTTTCTTCAGACTCTGGAGAATTGATCGGGTCATGGCCGGGAGTCCTCACGCGTGCCTGTTCGGATGGATCCCGCTTCGGAGATCATGCAAAGGGACATCAACCAACACGTGAAGCCAATTGATCACAAAAAAGGTGCCATGGCCCGGCATATCTTCGCTACAGGGGATGGTTATCCACTCATGTCGCTACAGGAGACGGGACGTTTATACATGCATCTGGGGGGATTCTTCTTTCCATGTTGATCAGCAAATGGCATATTCTTCATGTGATCTTCATGTGGGTTTCATGAGTCGAACTTTTCATCTACCTGACATGCTGCCGGTGTTTCTTGATTGGGTGGGGGGACCTTTGGCTGCCCAGAAACTGGACTCTGGACTCTTTTGAAAGCCAGCCAAAGCGGCTCACACAGACCCGTAGCAGTAGCAGACTCCCAAAAGTGCTCTTCGCCACGGAGAAGGCCAAAACGTCGTGCCTTTCGCGGTGGACTAAGAAACCTCACTCCCGCATGCACACTCACACGACACCGGCCATGCACACACGCATGTCGGTCGGCATCGCATCGAGGATGATGATACTTGGTTCCGAGACGTGAACAAGAGGCACGAGGACCGCAAGAAGCAGTTCTTCAATAGCGAGGTACCCCGCACCCGTGGAGCCTTGGAAGCCTCAAAAAGGGCGACGAGCGATCTTGTCCAGGGAATAGCTGGAAGGAAGCCAGCTCGTTTGGTGCGGTGGGTGGAGGTTTGAACTGCAAAGGCCTAGGCGGTGGAGATTTCTTAATGTGAGTCTTCGAGACGTAAGCCTTGCGGGCTTTGGTATCGATAGAACTGCACTGTCTCATCCTCTTCCTCTTCTGGGCTCGGCTAGCCGGTGAGGGGGTACATTTCTAGCTACCAAACAGGTGGACGTGCTTGGCCTGTTTTGCAGATCCAGCTTCCTCTCCGGATATCCTCGTCCATGGTCCGACAAGTTTGCTTGCTCCAAGTTCTTGCTACTTCAATGAGGTTCGGCCCACCGCTTGGGAGTTTAGGCTGTGACTGTAGCTCTAAGCAGTTGGTTGGCGAACGCAGTTCCTTCGATTCCAGAGTTTTCAGCCAGTGCTCGTGTGAAAGCTGAACCTGTCCTGGGTCACGGGCGGTCAGCTAGCAAGGCTTTCCCCTGCCCAAGCCATGCGAAGCCACGATAGCCGTCCTCCCCAGCATACCCCCCGTGAAGCCGCGCCGAACAAGAACGCTGCGCCGCCGAAGAATGGAGGACCCTGGCCCTGGCCCGAAACGCCTCCACGATCCTGCGAGGATCGTCGCTGCTTGCTTCATCGTCCCCAACTGGGTCGTCCGACCTCTGGCAGGCTCTGGAGCGCGTCTCGGCACCAAACAGACTCGAAATCGGATGGTAAGAACGGCAAGGCCACGGACGGTTTGTTAGAACGCCCGAAGGTGCTGGTGGATGGCGCCCTCCACGTGGCCAATATGCGACAGACATGTAGGGATGTCGTTTGCGACACACAGGGAGCGCACAATCCACCAGCCCAACTGCTGACGCAAGCGTTTTCACACGTGTGTTTTCACATCCACCAGGCTGAAGCTGCGAACTGGTCCTACGGCGTTTACGACCGATGATGAGTTATATAGACAGAGAAAGGGCAAGAAGCTTAAGACAGACTACTGCAGCCGCCACAAAGGGAGATCGAACACATCTGGATGGACTGACGCAATGTTTTTGCACAACATACACCACTGAATGACCTCCTGCACAACATTGGATTCTCAGCTTGCAGGCCTTGGGAGGTTTATAAGCGGTAGAAGTAGCATCCCAACTGGATCAAATGACCTTTGTGGTGCTCTTGTGCTCCATTACATGTCCAATTTGCGTGTCTTTCTGAGGACATCACTATCATGCTGGTGCAGCGGCTGCGGGTGGAATGGCCGTCTTCATCACGTGCATTTGGTGTTTTAGCAAGAAGTGACGGGGATCGCGCAGGGCAGACCAGGGGCGAGAACAATCTGGCTAAAGGGATGGAATCTGCAAGAATTGAGATCTGAAAGCTCCACGAAATTGGAGATGGAAAGCACATTGTGATATTTTGCCTTTTTAAAATTAGGGGCCATTCATATATACGTACATATAGAATCGTTCGAAAGATGCTGAAGCAAGCCACAAGCCAACCCTGGGGAGGAAGAACTCGTCATTTCAGTCTTTCGCCATCCTTCGCCACCGTTGAGAAAAAGCGGGGGCTCGACGGTGGAATGGAATGGACCAATCCGGAAAACCTGGATGGACCAAATCAGATGGGATCCGGTTTCCTTTGGGATCGCTGTGGATCGAGGACAACCCCGACCTAAAGATGCGACCAGACGAGCTGTCGGGAGCGGAACAAGCGGGGGGGGTGACGTCACCCGTGCAATTGCCCCGTGGAATTCGCGTAGTTTCTGACGGACGTGGTGTGGTTTTCCTCGGACGTGGGACGTGGTGATGTGTGGTTTTCGTGAACATCACGGTGGAGGTCTTTGAGGGTGAACATCTCAGTGTTCCCTCTGCTCTCGCGGAGCTCGACAAGGGGGGGCGACAAGGCGAGCGAGGGGGCTGTATCAACCGACAAGCACACACGCACACACGCACACATTGAGACTGCTCAGGTTCAGCTGCTTCTTCAGCATTGTCTGCTGTCCATGCTGTCTTCTTTGCCGAGGCCATTTGAAGGTGCGCATGATGGGCCACACTGCAGTGTTAATGGTTTGCAACAGTTGTTTCAGCGGGTCATTTTGAGGTGCGCAAGGTGGAGTTTCAATTGAAGACGATTCGCTGTGGCATCTTGAGAAGATTACTGTATCTCTTCCCACCGACTCTTTTCCACCGAGAATCGTTCCACGATCTGGTCTTGGTGCACCTGTTACTATTGATTAAGTTTCACGGATCGTAAAAATTGTAACAAATTCATCACATTCTAGGTCCAGGCCCAGAAAAACCATTGTGCATCTTTCAAAGTCGGCCCAGAATGAAACATAGCAACTACAGTAACATTCATAGAAATCAATATGCCAGCTGAAGTGTTGGTACACACTCGAAAACAATAGGTAGTCACTTAGTTGATAGATGAATACAGCCGACCTACACGTGTAATGTTGACCTTTGTATCCCTTTATCCAGTTTTGTCATGGAAGAATCCTTCAAGGCTCATTTTCCACTTTGGTGTGACTTATTTCCTTGGCTCAGGTGACGCCCACAAAACCGCATGTTCATCAAAATCAACACCATTTTCCTCTTTCTTGAGACTGGATGCTAGGACCACGCAATCGGCTTTGGTGACAAGTGCGTGGTTCGGTTGGACCAGGATCATCATCCATTGAGCTTCCATCATTTCTCTCCACCACCAGGAAGCCGTGTTGTTGATGAACAAAAACCTGCACCACACAATATAACGATCCTGCAATGGGATAGGGGAGTCTCATGATCGTTGATCAATCGGATGCTCCTAAGCAGCATCACCCGAGAACGTTTTTCCCCAATGGCTTGGGACCCGAGTTTTTTCATAAGCGGCACTTTTGGGGACCCTTTTGTCACATGGAGGCGCTTGAAATCTTCCAAAAGGGACCTCTCTCAGCCGTTGCACGGGGTGACCGGACGCTCAGCGAGGCACGTGGCCTGCGAGAGAAGCTGGAGCATTTGCAGCTGGCACACCCACCCCATGCGGAGCGCCAAAGCATGGCGCAGCTGCCGGACGGCATGATGCGGCTGGCGCAGGTGGGGAGAATCCTCTAGGAAGAGTGCTGTGGTTGGGCTGGGTTCGGTTGGGATGTGAAAGACCTTGCGGGTGCCGAAGGACCAAAATAGCTTGCAGATTGGATATTCGTGGCCACAAAAGGGGGTCCAGCAAGTGTTGACACCATCTCCCCATCTCTCCCCATCTACCCGCATATCATTCTACATCTCCACATGTCATGTGATTGAAGAGCATGTTGCAATCAAAGGACACGCGTTGGGAGTCGCCACCCATCTCACTCCAAACGAGCCAGAACCTGTTTGGGTCTCACTAGACTTCGAATGGGGATTGAACAGGCTGCCGTCCGTGAGCTTCTCGGATGGTCTACAGCATGTGTGTTGCTTCGGTGCCAAGACGGGAAGTCCCGGTCCTCCGAGCGGCTCCCGCGCTCCGCGCTCCAGGAGGATCGAATCTTGATCAAGGAGAAGGTGAATACCTTGCAGGAGATTCCTTTCCTTTTCCGCCTATGAGGGTCTTTGTCAGGTCTTTCGGGCTTCTCTCTTCCCCCTTTGCGGGACCCGTTCAAACCGGGTGCTGGTCTTTTTCCTTAAAACATTCTTTTTGGTGGAGCGTGCGGTCGAGTCGGGACGGTTGGGTCGCGCAGTGCGTGGCGAGTGAGCCGGGTTTCGTGGCAGGTGGTGCAGGTTCGGCCATTGGATGGGAGATGCGTCGCCTGGGTTCTGGAGGAAGACACACTGCGGATGGATTTGTATCCCTTCTGCCTGGCTTGGAGGGTTACGACTTAGGAGGGTTGAAACATATTTAGAAAAGTCAGTTGGTTAATCCAACTGAGAAGTCTCGCCCCACACCGGGTCGGCAGCTTCCAACGCGGGCACCTGTGGGAGGTGCATCTGAACTTGGAGATTGGACTCCGGTGGCCTCTCCACTCACCACCCAAGCCACATGGAACCGGCGGCCGCTCCACGTGGTTGTGGTTGGTTTGCTCCACACCTCAAGACCATATTCTCTCCCACAAATCGGTGGGGCTTGCAGAGCCCCCACGGGGCACCTTTTTCGAGGCCCGGATCCCCACACACCCGCCCCGCCCTGCTCCGATTCCGTGAGGGACGTGAGGAATGTGGCTCACTTGGTCTAAACAAAAACACACACACTCGAGATATTGCGTACGGAACTGATCGCCACAAGCCCTGAAGAAGCCTAAGTGAAAAAGTTGCCTGGGTAAAACAGGTAGTCGAATCATCAACGTGCCAAAGCGTGACTGCCGCTGCAAACCTGTGCAATGTGCGGAATTCTTGTTTTAGCTAATGCAGGGACCAAGTGGGAATTGCTCCGGTATAAACTGCAGGTACACACAGGTGATCAATGCTTCCCACTCCACGGCATAGCTTCGTTGCACTGAGTTTGCCAAGGGGTGCTCAGTGCCGACTAAAGCCCTTACTTCAACGGAATTCCTATGACTCCAAGGGTTTCACAAACACACACACACACACACACGCCTCCCGAGTGGGGAGGCGAAAAAACTAAGGTTACGACTAGCTCGCATGTGAGAGCGCAAAAAAGACAAACAAATGACGACATGAAAGGGGGACAAGACAGACCAGATTTATGTGGTTGCAATGAAGTGGAACCAAGTGACCAAACACAACCGATGAACCCAACCTCCTTGTAACAACCTGGGCGACCTGAGACCAGCCTGAGACCTGGGTTTAACATGTGAGTGCGCGTGCACACTAAGTACACACTAAGGGCTGGACCAATGTGTGCACAAAAGAGGAAAGGATGAGGTGCCAAGACATGAAGACAGAGAGAAAGAAAGTGTGTGTGAAGGGGGAAGGATGAAAAGGAAAGGGAGGGCCGGAAGCCGATGAAGCCTGACCTCATTGAAGCGACCTAGGCAAAACCTGGTTAAAAGTGCGCGCTGTATGTGCGCATGAGGCTCCGGCAGGTCCCAAACCTTAAAAAGGCTTTGACCGCTCTGGTCACCTTGTGCCATGCCAAAATGGCGGGCTGCTTGGACCTCCTGGCGTGGCCGAAGGCTGCCTACTTGTACTCAATAGTTCGTCAAGTCTTGGCAAATAATTTTGGTGCAAGCCTGCTTCGTCCGCTGCGGACTGCTCAGTATCCGGGCAGGGAAACACTCGAGATGTTGCGTACGGAGCTGATCGCTGAAGAAGCCTAAGTGAAAAAATTGCTTGGGTAAAACAGGTAGTCGATTCATCAACGTGCCAAAATTCCAAGAGAAACCCCGCATGAGGCCTCCAAAGCCCTCGAAGTTGCAAAGCTCCAAAGTCAAATGCATGACTGCCGATGCAAACCGGTGCAAAGGGCGGAATTCTTGTTTTAGCTAAAGCAGGGACCAAGTGGGAATTGCTCCGGTATAAACTGCAGGTACACACGGGTGATCAATCCGTGCTTCCACTCCAAGGCATAGCTTCGTTGCATTGAGTTTGCCAAGGAGTGGTCAGTGCCCCTGCTAAAAGCCATTACTTGAACGGAAAACCTATGACTCCAAGGGCTCCACGCACACATATGTATAGTATATATATCTATATGTATACACATTGAAAAAATCTTTTGGCTGCCAAACAAACTATATTTTCTGAGTAGATATTTGCAACTGTTAGACTAGTGGATGTTGGAAGATTGGCAGGAACTTTCAACGCACATGGTGGGCTACTCCATCCAGACGGCCAACTGCTTCGATGTGGTCTCCGTCGTGGGCGGCGGGGAGCACGTCTTGTCCTGTCGTGAGGTTCAGGACCTGCAGGCCGAGCTTCCCCGGCCGCTCCGCGGGCGAGTCGTCAAGTTGCCGAGTGGAGTGACCCGGTGGAGCGGTTGTTGGGGAGAAATGAGGAATGACGCGGAAGAGAGAGGGAGAGAGAGAGATGCTCTTTCACAACTGGGTTTGAGTGTTCAAGAGGTGGTTGTGAAACCATCAGCCTTTTACTCTGTTTGTGGATGTATTTCAGCGAGAGCTTCTCCTCCGCATCCCTGGCATCTAGTGTGAGCCAACCACTTCCGGCGCGGAAGATTCGAGCGCTGATTCGCGCCAGGCCATGCTGGGCATGAACCTGGCTGGGGCGCTGGGTGCCATGGGCGTAGATGCGGCGAATGCCTACGCCGGACGTGACAAGGCCCCCTTCCGTATGTGTGTGGGGCTCCCGCCCTTGGGCGGTGGTGCTGGTGGCAAGCGCCTTGGCTGTGTGGAGAGCCGGACATGGGATGACGGAGTGGGGAACAGGGCCGGTGGTGGTGAAGGGGAGCGGAGCAGAAGCAGATGATGTCTTCTAAGGTTGGATCTTGGGTTTGAGAGAAGAAACCTAAATTTTGGGTATTGGGGTGCTGGTATTTTTCTTTCCTTGTCAAGTTTCTTCATCGCTTCTTTTCTGAAGGAGATGGAGATCCGACTGGGACATTATTTATTGATCTTTGTGACCAGAATGGGATCAGAACACATGAGCTCCAGGTCCATCAGCGTCACGCGATTTCCGCGGTCCAAAGAAACACGATAGCCAACGAAGAGCTTTCGTTTCACCATGTTCAACCACCACAGCTGATTTCTGCTTGACAGATGTCAAGCAAACCCACCAGGGAGCACCACTCCATAGCATCAAGTAACTCCAAGTCTCTCGCATCGTCGCCGGCGAGGCCTGGTGTGATGCAGGTGACGGTGCCCGAAGGCGTCTCTTCAGGGCAACAGATCCAGGTGACCAGCCCCACAGGCTGCGGTTTTGGGGGGAGTGGGTGGGAAAGAGAGAACCTTGAGTCGACGTTTTGGAGAGGCTAAGGCGAATAGACGGAGAACCGACTGTATAGTTTCAATCGAACGGAGTAAATTGGTCTTCGCTGCGAGGATCGCCTATTTTGGAGCCATTCTCGAAGGCTGGTTTTGTCTATGGATCCTGGATCTAGCTGGTGCGAGCCGGACGTATCCATATTCCCCCACGAAACGGGAGTCGTTCGGAGCTTCTTCAAGTATGCTTCAATTCAGGGAGCTTCCCACAAAGACCCGGAAGGAGGTCAGTTCTGGAGGTCGCCAGTTAGACCTTTTCTTGGTCCAGTGCAGGCTGTTTTTTTGGAATCCAAACATCCGAACCTGCATGGCGGCGTGGGCGTCTCGCACACGAACTGCTCCTGGTATCCGTTCCTCAGGGGAGCAGTTCGTGGTGTCCGTGCCTCCAGGCCCGGAGCGAGGGGGGGGACAGGAAGGAAGGTGGAAGCCACAAGGATCAACCTAGACGAACAGAGCTGCCAAAAGGTGCTGCCCAGAGGTAGGGACTGATGAAGGGTTTTGGTGAGGAACCTTTCACATTGGCCGTAGGCAAATCTGGCTTGGATATTTCTCTCGCTTTGCTTTGCAGAATCTTGGAACCCAACTTTGGTGCCAAAAACGCTCAACAAGCAAGTCGGTGACGGACCCAACGTGCGGCCTTTGGTCGGCCTTTTTTCACCTTCACGATTTGCAGGTGTTGGGCCTGGGCAGACCATGGAGGTGCATTTGCCCAGCAAGAACCAGGGCCCCAGCATGCAGACCATGATGGAAGGCGCGGCAGTGCATATGAGAAAAGCAGCGTGCGTGCGCGGTGTAAAGAACGGGTGCACGTGGGGGTAAAGACGGGGCCACGTGATTTGAGAGCGACGCTCTGGGATTTTGGGATTTTGGGTGGATTTTCATGTTGTTTTTTGCTGATTGTTTGGTCCGATGGATTGAGATCTGGCAGATCCAAGGCTCTGATGTTTTGGATCGCTTGTTGGCTCCCAGGGTTGCCTTCTGATACATCAAGCAAGATTCATGATTAGGGGAGACCGGGCAATTTCTGGAGTTATCTTGGACACTCTCAGGGCCTCCAACCACAAAAAAAAAACTAACAAACAACACTAAAAAAAAGAACCTACTAGCGATGGCCTCCAGATGGCCTCCAACCTACTAGCGATGGCCTCAACCTACTCGATGATGGCCTCCAACCTACTAGCGATGGTGGCCTCCAACCTACTAGCGATGGCATCTTTTTGAAGCTGCCAGATGCCCACCTCGAAGGTTTGGTCCCCGGCGCCGCGACCAACAACGACACGCCCTTCCTCTACCTCGACAGGCGCCCTCGGTCCCGAACCGAGCGACGCGATGCGAGTCCTGGTGAGTCAATTGGGGGAATCAGTCAGTCAGCCATGTTGATGACTTAATATTACATAGAGTTTTATAATGTTTGATGTAAATCAACCTTGGCTTCGTACCACTAGGTGGTCTGACCGATGTACTTCTACAAACCACAACGGCGGATCGGAACCCACTCTCCGCGGTGCGGAACACTTCCGCGGCCGCTTCGGGGGACTTCCCCCGTCAGCGCAAAAAGGCCCTTCGCCATCGACTGCTGCTGCGTGAACCGACCCAAAGTGGATGTGTTCGATTGCCGCGGAGGCGCGATGGTGAAGCTAGGCATCATCTCGGTCGCTTGGCAAGTCCGAGCTCTCACGGGGTGACTGAGGACACCGAGGAAGAGTGAAGAGTGAAGAGTGAAGAGCTGCGTGTAGACCCAGTGGTGGTCTGAAGACACCTCTTTAGACAACGCCCTGCCAGAGGTTAAGGAGAGGGAAAGGGAACCAAAGCTTTTGGGGGTTTCCTCGGAGTGGAAAGAAGAACCAAAATGACCCCCATTTGGGTTCTAAAAGGAAGTGTTTCCGGCAGTGGCAGGATGCTCAGGGAGTGATGCGAGTGTTGTGACTGCTCTTCTCTCTTGATGAACTTGTTCTTCCTCGGTTCTCAGCCGCTTCTTCACTGCCATTGGTCGGTGGCCACCGACACCCTCTCTCCACCGCCTCGGTGGCCACCGCCCGGGTAGATTCTAAGGACCCCTTCGCGTGGATGGACATGACCTTCGGCATCCACATCGGCCCCAATGCCAGCGAGTCGGACGTGCCCGCTTTGTGGGTGCGCGGTGCGGCCTGTCAGCCCGGTGCCACCTGCACGCTGTGCGGGCTCTGTTGTGGGAGGAGCTGCGACTCGGATCCAAGAGGAAACACGCGCACCACTGGTCTTCATTTGACAAGGATGGACCGGTCAGGGTACAAAGGTACGAAGTAGGATGATCATGTGTGATCGTTAAGGCCTAGAGATTCAAACATGGTGAGGCCAACACTGAAGGCCAAAAAACGGGCTGCTAAAGTACTCATAGACTCATGCCCTGCAGTCGTACCATGATCTTCCCAAGTTTTTCCTGAACAAGTTCCATTCTGTTCGGTGGAAGTTTGGGTTCACCACGTGGGAACCCGTGTTTGTTCGCGGTCGGTTTGCCGCGTGTCCCGGGTGGCTTAAAACATGGCCGGTCTCCTATGGTTTCCGCGACCCGGCGGTCGCTGCGTGGAAAACGGTCCTGCCGAGGCCAAGAGGCCTATTTAGAAGTGATCGATCCGCATGACACTTGGATTTGTCTCGTGGGAGGGGGGCCGTGTGTGATGCCGGAAAGTGCCGTGTTGAATCTCTTTTCATCTCTTTTATGCTCCTGTAGAAGGAAGCGTGACAACTTGCCATTGGTCGAGATGGGCTTCCAAAAGCTTTTGGGGGTTGGGGGTGCTGCAGGATTCCATCTGTTTAGACATTTTAGGGCAAGCAGGATCAGATGAGCACAAGCCGGAATCACCTGTACAGCACTTCTTACAAGGATTTTTGTACTGATATACACTGTAGAAACGTCGTGCCCGCCCCAAAATGACGGGATGAAAGCGGCAAGTTAGGAGCGTCCTCACCTAGGACTTGCCTCCATGGCAGGTTTGGCCCAACCACCTGGTCTTCCCACAAACTTCAGTGTCGAAGATGGAACCAGAGCAGAACGACGCTCCATGCATGGAATGTAAACCATACCTTGGGGCAGTTTCAGACGTCAAATGCGGGCCAACAAAAACATCCAGTCCCATGAAGTGTTTTTGGGATGCGCACGAGATCATTCCGGGGCCGTCGCGCATCGACCGCAGTGTAGACCGGAGCGAACGGACCGGAGCGGTTTGAGGATGGAGATAAGACGGTGGCCTTCATCACAAAGGGCTGGGCTGGGGGAATGCAGGAGATCTTTACCAACGCCAACTGCTTCTACGAAGCTTGGAGAAAGAGCAATAATACGATGCTAATACTACATCTGGCTTTGTTGATGTAAGAACATGGCATGGTGGGCCCTTGGTCAAGTCGCTTCTTAACCCCCGAGTCCGTTTGGATCTTCAAAGCAACAAAGAGACGCCTCCTTCCCATGGCCCGGTTGGCCGTTTTTGGGGGTTCTGTCTTGGGTCCGGCCCAGAGGAGGTCGAGGCCGTTGGTCTTCGGCCTGTCTTGTCTGCCTTTTGTTGCGGTTGAGGTGGACTTTGGTGAGGTCAAGGACCCCGCCTGCAAAGCTCTGCTCTTGGCGCCTTGGATGTTTTCTTTAATTTTGGGGATCGGTTTGGTGTGAAGATAAACACTTCGCTTGAAGAGAGAGAGAGAGAGAGAGAGAGACCCTCAAAAGGTTCGACTGTGTGATCGCAGGAGGCTCGAACTGGATGGGATCAGTGGTGTGAAGGTTCTGAGGAAGATGTGTGAAGGTTCTGAGGTTGTAGAGGATCTGGGTGAATACTTGCGGAAGCTCCGACAATTGGCTCAACTCAGGCCACAGCCCTCTTTCTGAACTACAGATTCTTTGAGGGCCGCGCTGGTTCCACGAAGCACGGCGACTGAATATGAAAGCATGGCATGGAAAAAGGATGGCTGGAGACTCTGGGAATCGGAAGGGGATGGAGCTTTTTGGAGCAAGTTGGGATCCTTAGACAGATGCTACAAGCACTTGAGTACGGCTACCCAGCTACCCAGGCTAGCCGGTACGGCTTCCCACTGAAGAACCTGGCTTTGGTACGGTGATGTGGGTTATGGAGCAAAAGAGAGCACATCAGCTTTTGGCACCCAATCGACCGGTTCGAAGGTGGTCTTTTTCATTTGGTGGAGTTGCTGGTGCGATTTTGCGATGGAACAATCGAAGCCTTCAGGGGTCGTTGCCCGTCGAACTCGACGCCGGATCCCTGCCGGGAGGCCATGCCATGCGGGGCACAGGCAGCAAAAAGGGTCCGCAAGCCAGCGCGCAGCGCGCGCAGCGCGCCGTGCCCCGTGCCCGGGGTCATCCGTTCGGGTAGTGCATTGACATACTTTCAAGATCCATCCGGTGCTCACCGATCTGGTGGCATGTTGATGAGGCATCGGACACGGCGCTTGAACCGCTTGTTCCTCTCGCACTCAGCCAGCGCCACGCCACACGCGCGGTGAGGGCGACGGAACGGAACAGCCACGCCCTTCGAACCGCCGCATGGCGAACGCGCACCACACCAGCACGCAGCCGGAACTACCGTCGTTCGATGAAGCCGGACGTCCTGGCTACGTGGCAACTTCCGCGGTGGGTGCGGTGGACACGTGCAAGCAGACTTCCTCACGTCGCTCGATCTGGTCACGGGGGGGACACCGTCACCGTGACGCGGAACCGGTCGTGCCGACCGTCGCCGGAATTTAGGTCTCCCATGGTCGACCGGACCCGGCCGATCTTTGGGCTTTTTCAACGTCACAAAGGCAGTTCCACGTCCACCTTGGGTCAGTACACCTGGAACAGGGGAAAGATACAACAAAACACGCGCTCGTCATCGGTTTCTTTGTTTTTCCAACACCAACCCCAACACGGTGGAAGAGATGACGAACCCATCGCTGGGCACACAGCCCGACACCCTCAGACCGGAGATGTGTCAGGGTCTGGTGTGCCGAGTGCTGCCTCTTCCACTGTTTGCGGCCCGGCCTGCTTTTGGTTTGATCCTGGATGTCTGCACATTTGTCCTTGAAAGAATGCAAATTGGTCCGTGCATTCTGCATTCTTCTGAAAGACACCCTTCCCAACAACTGGAAGTCTTCAGGGCGATCAAGCAAACCTGCCCACAACCTGAAAGCTGACACAGGAGTGTGCCTTGTTTACATTCTGATGTGCATGGTCCCCGTAGTCCTCTTTAGCAGTGCGGCATGTCCACAGCGATTGGGCGACCGCGTTACCACCGCGCTCGAACAGTACGAGCTCAATCGGTGAACGTTTCTACCCACACCGAAGAGCCTTCGCGAGACGACAGATGCGCCTGGTGCCTGCTCATGTTGTTGTTGTGGTGGTGGTAGTGGTGGTAGTTCTTTTTCTTTGCTTCCCTACCAGGCCCTACCATAGTTCTTACACGTTGTTGTTCACAGCCAAGTGTTGGCCACAAGCTAAGCGTTCAACAACTCACCTGAACGCCACTCTTTGGCGAAAGGAGTCCTATTTGTTCAGCTGCAAATTTCGGATGAGCCAGGGAGGACAAGCCAGGAGAACTGAATTCGGACAACTATTTCTCACACACTTTCAGATGTACTATATATGCACTATTCAGATGTGAGACAACTGCTGTGAGAAATAGACCATCGACGACAATTGAATGTGCCACTGTTCGTGCTTCAACTTCCGATTGATGCAGAGCAAGGAACAACGCATGCAGGAGAAAACAAGTTCTTTTCTCTTTTTGACACCCACACACTCCCACACGCAGACACACACGGTGTTAACAGCGTTCCTTGCTATCTTCTTGGCCAGTGGAACATTTGCATCCCTTTGAGCCTGTGCATCTTTGGGCTTGACGCAAGACTGAACTGCTCCTGGCCGAGAGGGTTCTCGCTTCATCCTCAGCCAGCAGCCAGCTATAAATCATGTTTTGGGGCCTTTATTCCGCCACCAAGACCCTTGGCCTGCCCCGCCTGCTCCAACTCTAGCCGCCTCCCTGCGGCATTTCTCTACGCATTTGTGGGAGCTGCCAAGCAGGAGCTTGGCCTAGCGAACACCCTAGCGAACAGTCTCTGCGATTGGATCGCTTCGCGCGGCCTCGCCGTGCGGCCGGAACTTCGCTCCTGGAAGGGCGGCCTCGAGGTGCGGCGAGCGAACTGTTCAAGTTCCAGGTTCAATTCATCAAAGGTTTTTCTAGTGGTTGCGAGGGGTTGGTGAGGTTGGTGGGAAGAAGTTTCACGAGATGATGAAGCAAAAGGAAAAATCAACTTGTCAAAGTGAAGTGAGAGATGTGATGCGTGGTGGTTCATTTTTGGCGATGCTTTTCTGTATTGTTCCTTGATGCCTTCATGAGATGCAGTGATGTGATGTGATGTTCGTGATTATTTGTGGCGAGTGAGGGCGTGCGGGGCTTTGATGTGCATGGTCATGGTGGTTTGTTATTGATGCGGTGTCAGGAGGGATAGCTCCCAGCAAGTTATATAAAGCGGGTTGAGCAAAGTTACACCCAGCGAAAGGAAGTAAAACTCAAGACTCAAGACTCCAAAACAATCTGTTCCCATAAAACCTTGTCCACCTAAAATACAGTATATACTTTTTTTACCCTTTCCCTACAAACGGTTTTGGTATGACTCACGCGGGCCATGGAGCGCCATGTTGACGGAGTGTGACTGCAAGAGTTGGAGTGCGGTCTTTAGTTTAATGGGACAATGGGTGCATAGAACTCGACACTACAAACGTTACGGCATGCGGCATGCATGAACAGTCTTTGTATACCCAGATATCCCTGGTTTCAGCTTTCAAAATCTTTCAAACTTCCACACTATCAGGGGTTGTCAGTGTCAGGATTCCAGAGATTGTCTCGATCCAACGAAGCTAGGTCCACAGAGAGGGGCGTAGTTGTGGATACATGACCACGTATGGGTGAGGGATCAAAAACAAATAAGTACAACATAAAAAAGCAATTATTCGACGGGGATCACAAAGAAAAAGATAGGGATCCAAACAAATATTCCCAGTGAGCAATGAAAGGAAAAGGAGACTAGGGAAAGGACAGCAGCAGCAGGGCGGGCGACCAGACGACCACGAAAGGTTGATGGCAACAAACAGACCAAAAACTTAGGCGAGGGTGTGCAATACTTGGTGCTGATATGCGATGGGGTGACCTTTATGAAAGTCTGTCGTGGCAGGCCCAGTGTGGCGCCCAAGCGGGGTTGCAAACTACAAAAGCCACCAGACGCTGAAGGCGCCACAAAATATAGCATCATCGAAAACTACTCATATCCTATTGCCCAGTCAATGAGGGGCCCATCCACCACACGACAGTGAAAGGATACTTGCAACCACTTGCACCACAGAATCAAAAAGACCTAGGCTGGTGTGTGCAACATTTTGTGTGTGAACGATGGGTGCCCGGGTGACCTTTGGAAAATCTGTCGCTGTAGGCCCAGCTCATTGCCAAAAGTAGTGCAGATTTCGTAGCACTGGAGGGGGGTTGGAGGGCGCAGCGCCCCCCACCCAGAGCGATCAGACTCAAAAGACACCACAAAATAGATCACTATCGAGAACCGAGAACTACACCCCATTGGCTCATCAATGAACGGCACTCAGAAAGTGTCGCAAGGACCAAGGCGAACGGGTAGCGCATCAGGCCAGCGGAGCAGGGAAGGGCGCAGGGGACCAAAGAACGGCACCAAAGGCCTGACATGCACTGCGACGGGCCAGCGGGGCCAGGCCAAGTGCGCGATTTGGGTGGTTGATGTGGATGTTTGGGTGGGAATGTTTTGAGGTTTGCGGCACTCCTTTCGAGGAGTGTGATGGCTACACAGTTTGCATTCCCTCAACGCATCGAAAAAACTTGCCCAAAGGATAACTGTTGGCCGTTGCACATCTGGCACATGTGTGTTTCTGCGCCCCTCCGCAGTCAGGGCCACTTAGCAAGGCTGGGACAATCTAGTCTGTATCATACGTATCTTTGACAAGCGGAATCCACATGACGGGTGCTATCCTTGAACGCGACAGGCGCTCGCGCCGCAACATTTCTTCCCGCCCTGGCTGCCGAAAGGGCGAAGCGCAGGCAATAACGGCCCCTAAAAACACCCAGGGCCCAAGCACAAACCATAACTATAGCTATTCAGCAAGCAAAGTACTTCAATTTGCGGAAATTTCGACATTGCGAGGGTGCGAAGCCGCTGCCAGGGCTTAATTGCTCAACCATTGGGGATCCATGTCAGTCTTGCTGTGGTTGGACCTGCAAATTTATTCAACTTCTGCCAAGATGTCTAGCTTGGACAGCTCTTCTTCTTCCAGCTCTGGTGGGTGATCTCCATCTCCCACATAGCCCTCATTCTTCATTTCCTCCTTGTCGACCTCGTCCTCATCAGCATTTCTGGCTCGTCTCCAGGATATTTTTTCTCACCCGCCTCACATTTCCAGCATAGGTTGGCGGGTACATCCTTTTTGACTTTGGGTTCATGTTTGTTTCTAATTCTTCAGCACTTCTCTTGACTCCATGGCCTTCTCGGGTCAATTCTCTGTCTTCTTGCTTGGATTGTGCTGCGTTGTCGTCATCAACTTTTCTCTTCCTACCCTCTGTCTCTTGGGCGGTTGCTGCGTCAGACTTTCGTCCGGTGCTTTGTGGGTCTTCTTCTGCTTTTCGTTTCCTTGAGCTTTCGTCCAAGGGAACTGGTGTCTGGGGTACTCTGAGTCCCGGGGTCATGGGCGCTGATGGTCCTGCTGGAGTGGTTGGTGCTTTTGCAGGCGCTGGTGTTCTGAATCCCGCAGCCAACATTGGCGTGGCCAACGCAATTGCAATTTTTTTGAGATTCCCGGCACCTCCTCCTCTGTTGCGCCCATCGCTGCAACCGGTTCTGTTCGCCTGTTGTGGCCTCCGTGCTTCATCAGCACCCCCATGCCTGTGAAAGCCCACGGCAATCCTCGTGCAAAATGCGCATAAACGCTTTTGAATTGCTCCGGCAATCTTCGAATGCTACGT